AATATCATTATTAATAGTTGGAAGTCGAGATTAGAATTAATTATTAATTATTTTTATTTAATCATGAAAAATATATGCATAATATAATATTTTTTATGCGAAAAAATATAAATGTAAATAATTTACATTAAAAATTAAACTTATATGTCTAATTTACATCAAAATTATTTACGTTATTTTTATGAATACATAATGAAAACGTATTATTATAAATATTATCAATATTCTAATGTTATGATTGAATATCGTTTTCGAAGAACTCGATCGAAGAATAAGTGTATCCATTTCGCGGAACAATCGTTTTCCCGCGTTTCCGCGATGCATTCCTCGACCGTTAATCATACGTGATGGATCGAAGCTCGCATATTTGCTCACAGCAAGAAAAAGTTTCTCAATCCAAAAAATTCCAAATATTTTTTTAATAATAGAATGCAGTTACAGAGTAAAATTTGTAGGAAAAAAAAAAAAAAAAAAAACTTAAGTCGATATTGTATCACATTTTACATTAAAATAAAACATCACTAATTGATCATTGTTGTCATATAAATAATGTCTATATTTGAAGATTTATTATAATTAATATTAAAATATAATAAATCATGTTTATCCTATATTTTAATTCTTCCTTAATGTTTATTTATATTATATTATTCAATTTGGAAAGTTTTCATTACAAAGAACACGCATTCGTGCATCCTTCTTGCGCTTAGGAGCGTGCGCAAATGCTTGGGACACTCGCGTGTTCGAAATTCGAACCGAGTAAACGAACCGAAGCGATTTCGATGCGCAGAACCGAATCGAGCATCTGATCGGCCGAACGATATCCCGTGTAACTTGGAAACATGAAATGCGACGAAAATGATCCGAGAGATTTAGTCATTTTTTCTAAATTTTAATTTGACTATATTCGAATTAAGTTGCAATACTGGTTGCTTAAACAGCAAATTTTTTAATAGAGAGATTAGATTATGTGCAATATGTGAATTTTTTTCAGATTCAGATATTCAATATGCTCGAAGCATAAATTAATATTAATATAAATGACCTGATATATTAAAATATAAAATTATTTTATCTTCTTTTCTATTATATAACACGAGAAAAAGATATATCTCATTATTCTTGTTATCTTTGTCCCAAGCACATTGATATAATTTTCTTAGGTATATCTTACATATATGCACATTTATATTGATAATGATCTATAATAGAAATAATTTAGAAATATATACAGAAGTAGTAGTTAAAATAAATATCATTTTTTCAAATTTTTCTTAAAAATTATAATATTCTTGTATTAATATATAAATTAATATATAAGTTTTAATTGTTTTTATTTAAAACATAAAAGTAATAGTATTTCAATTTCATTATTAAATAATGAAAACAAATTATAGCATAGAATTATTTTTAAAAAATATAGATATTGCAAATTGTTTTAAAATAATGTATTTATTCTTTGCAAATTATTCAAATTTATAATTGACATAATATATGTAAAAATAAACTTTTACAGATTGCGTTTCATTACACGAATTTAATGTAATATAACATAGAAAAATATATAAAATAAATTCATATTTAAACAATAACTATGATATATTAAAATTATTCACATATTGTATTGATAAAGAATCAAATAATAAAGAAACAAAAATACAATATAGTTCATATTAAATTTTGCTTTTTAAATTACATGTAATTACATTAACGTTTTATAATTCATTGTAAATTTCACATTTAATACATTGGAAAATAAATAAATAAATAAATAAATAAATAAAAAGGGAAAAAATATTTAAATATGGACTTACCTTTATCCATCCGCCATGAGCAGTAACGACAACATACAGCAAATACAGATCTATATCTTTTCCATTGATTTTCGGATTTTTTTTGAAGGGAGTCCTAAAAAATATAAAATATATGATTCATAAAATGTATATAAATATATAAAATGAATTAATAAAATTAAATTAATAAAAAAGAATAAGATCGATATGAACTATTTTACAAATATTGAATAAGATTTATCGAAACAAATTTTTATTAATGTATAGTTTTTTTATTTGTTAATGAATAAAAAATTGATTTATTTTTTTATACAAATAATTGTATATTTATATAATAATTGTATATAATTGTATATGTATAAAATAAAATATTATTCAATTAAATATTTTTTGTTTCTTAAAATTATACATTGTAATGCAAAAAATACAATTCATAAATGACATTATATTAAATAATATTGAAAAATAAAATTAATACTAATATATTGAAATATATTTGAAAATTTATCAAAAAAGTTAATCAAAAATATATAAAAGATATATAAAATTAAATGAATTAAATCAATGAACTTATTCTTCAAATATACACAATAGATACATTACAATATAGTTTGTTGCTAAGGTTAAGATCATTCAATATAATTAAGAAAATTTGTTTCTGTTTCTGAAACTAATAAAATATGAACAATGACGTAATGAACAGCGGTATTTTCGTGTGAAATAAATTGCAATTACTCGTTATATTTTAAAATAGTTTTAATTAATATTAAAATTTAATTATTACAAAAAGAAACATAGTTTATTTACAATGTTTGTAAGATCAAATAATAAATTCTTACAAAAAAAAAATCAAATTGATCATAATATTATCCATTTTAATTGAATGTAACCTCAATCGTAATAAGATACGCGACCGATAATCGTTGATAAAGAAAACATGGAACACGCGTAAACAAATAGCTTGCACAAAGGCGAGTCTCTCTGAGAAACTTTAAACTAAACGTACATAACCTCAAATCTATTCACATTCTAGGTAGACAACGCTAATTTATTAACCCGATTTACTTGCAAACCATTGCGATAAGAATTCTTTTATAGCGATGGAATTTTAATGGATAAAGTATAAAACGGTCGATGCAAATGAAAATACACAAAAAGAATATCGATGATAATAGTAAGATTGAAGTAAATAATGGAAGATTGGTTTGAAAGCAAACGAACGAAATTATCTTACCCTCTAGTCTCATGGAAGTGACGGAGATCCTTCAGGAAGTTTTCCCTCTCCCTTTCGTAGGTGACGGGGTCCTTGTTGAGGATCTTGGCCATATTCGCGAGTGATAGAGTGCGTGGGCGTGCTAATCGGGGTGTGCTCTGGGTTTACAGGGCACGTAGGGGCAGCAGACAGAAAGAAAGGTGCACATGGGCACTCATGAGAGCACATTTACGCCAGGAGTGTCCTGGTGCTATGAAAGAGATGGATATGCGAAGACGAGGACGACCACGGGTCGACACGGGGTCGCGACCCGCTCCCGACATCGGGTCGTCTTGTCCTGGCCCGAAGTGTCGGCCGGTGGCCTCTCTCGCGCGCGCGAAACGAGACAGCGGCTTTTCCCTGCCGTACACCGCCACCCCGGATCAGCGCACCAATATACACGAGCTACCGTGTCCCTCGCACTGAACTCGCCCGCGTGGGGAAAAATCCGAATGTACACGTAGTTCCACACACAGTAGTCACTACCGATCAACCGAGCGAACCGTGTTACGGGCACGGGGCCGCAACGCGACTTTCCTCGCGGCCCGATCGATTCACCTGTCACTTGTCAACGAAACGCAACGAATCCGTTGCGCCACGCACTCGTATCAACGATACTCGTGAACCTCGCGAACCGACGAATTCACCCGCGCGGTCCTACGCGAAGCGGCAGACCGACTCGAGACCGCGTTTCCCTACGAGCGAACGCTTGACGTGCGCCCGTATATCAAAATGGCGTCTCCTCCTGCCTGGCATCCATTGGCGAAGCCACAGCCAATTTCCCGTACGCTACGATAGCTACGGCCAGCGCCGACCCTACACACCGCGACACCGTTTCCGCTAACACACCTCGTACCGCACGCGGCACACCCTCGCACACTCTACGTCATTTTACAAGCGACACCGCGTTACCCCGACCATACCACAGCCTAGCCCTCGCCGCTTTTTTACCCTCGCCGAACCGTACAAACAAAATCCCGGGTCGCGCAGTATTTTTACTTTCAAAATGGTGTGGACCCCCCTCGTCAGTGGCGCACCGTTTGAATTGATCATAGGCTTCGCCGATAGAGGCGCGACCTACTCTGAGATGTTATACTGACATCTATCGGTATAACCAGTACGTTACACTAATTTCGAAGTAAAAGCTTTTTATTATACTGCGCATGTCCTTTTATGAATATACTTTCTTTTTAATCTTATTTTGTTTCTTTGAAGTCAAAATGCTTCTACATCTTTACATTAGATCTTCAATAATAAATGTTAATTTACATTTTTTGAATTTATAAATAATTTGTATATTTATTGTTTTCAATACCATGTTCAGTTTATTATTAAATTTATTTGAATATGTATATAATTCTATTTTACAAAAATTTGATTATTTGTATTTCTATTGAATTTTCAAAGCATTATTTGAAACAGTTATTAATATCACAAAAAGATTTTTATTGAATTCTAATATAATTCATAATACTTTATAAATAATAATATTAATATTAATAATAATATTAATACTTGAAAACTTTATCATTATTATAATCTTTTTATGAATTCTCATAAAAACGAAACCGCCATAACGTTATTTGACCAATAGCAATGTTAAAAATTCTTCAATAGTGGTATAACTATCATAAATTTTATTACATTAATAATATATTTTTTTTTTTAGTTTTCATATAAAGTAAATTAAGCATTAATAAATATGTACACTGTACATATGAATGTGAAATTCAACATTATTTTATTTTAACATATTTCAAAAATGATAGCTGATTTCTATGAAAAAGAATCAAAAATTATATTTTTAATATTCAAATTTTATTATTACATATTATTGCTTTTTATAACTATAATAAAAATTATTAATGAATTATTATGAATAAATAAATTATTGTATTTCATAAATAACTTATTATTTATTATTTATTTTTAGACAAAATAAACTAGTTTCTTTTACTGTAATAATGTGTACATATGTTCAATTCTCTTTATTTTGTTAAACAAGTATATTATTCGTGTGATTGTAACGATAGTATTATTCTATTCTTTGTATGATATAAATACTTTGTGAAAATGACTTACAAACGTAAAAAATATCATAGAGGTGATACACATTTGAAAAAAGGTTGGCGAACTAAAAGAAGAACAAAAGATTTAGATGAGGTATAATATAACCTAATTTTTATTGAAACCATGTGAATCACGTGGGTATATATGATTGGCAATTGTTACACGATATTCTTTATTTTAGATTGATGAGGATTTGAAAGACAAAAATGTAAAGAATCTACTAAATCAAGAAGTAGATTTTGATAAACCAGGAGCTGGACAATATTATTGTATTCATTGCGCGTAAGTATTTATATTTGATAGTAATATATTAACTAATATATACGTGATATAACCTTTTAACATGCTCCATTATTTTATTGTATTTCTATTAATTATTTTTTGCATCTATAATCATTTTTATATTTGAATATTTTTATATTATATATCTAAATGTTTTTTTCATTCAATATTATAAATGTTCTTATAAATTGAAAACAATTTATTTTTTTTGTAGGAGGTATTTTATAAATGATACTGCTTTACAAGATCATTTTACAACAAAAGTACATAAACGCAGATTAAAAGCTCTTGAATTAGAACCTTATTCTATTGAGGAATCAGAAAGAGCAGCTGGTAAAGGAAATTACATTATTCCACAAAAAAGGAAAATTGAGACTATAAATTATACCAACTATAATATGGATGTTGAACCAGAAACTTCATCACAAGTTAAAATAGCTAAAGTGGATGCATAAAATTCTCTTAAGAAATATAATCTTTATTCTAAGAAGTTTTATTATATATATTAGTAAATTATAAAAGTTGTCAAATTTTATAAATGAAAATGACAAATTATGTATTACATTTTATACAGAAATGTATATATTCTAATAGTATAAAACATAATTCTATTAAATGCATTAGTATACTAAAGCATTCTAGCAGACATTATTCTTCTGCACTACTTGTTTCAACTGTTAAAGGCAAAGAATATTTTTCATTTTTAAGACCATATATAGATTTAGATGAGAAATTAATAGATGTTGATAGAGTGCAGAAAGATCTTACAGCTAGAGGATTAAATTTGAATGTTAAAGAAATTAAAAATATATGGGAATTTTATAAATCAGTAAATGCAGATAAACATAAATTACAATCAAAAAATGAAAAAATATCAAATAAATTAAACGTGTTATATAAAAAGGAAAATTTAACTGTAGAAGAACAAACAGAAATTTCAAAACTAAAAATACAAATTAAAACATTAAAACATGATTTAAATAAGATTAAAAATGCTCTCAAAGATTTAAATGAAAGTATTTTGGAAAAATTATTTCAATTGCCAAATGAAGTAGATGGAAGGACACCAATTCAAGGTCCTGTTGTACTAAAACGGGTTAATTCTTTGAAGGAACATCCAAAAGATTCAGAAAAGAAAAATCACATTGAAATTGGAAGACGTCTTGGTTTATTGGAATATAAAAATCCTATGCAATATTATTTATGTAATGATGCAGCTCTTTTTGAACTTGGGGTATTAAATTATGCTGGAAAAATATTTAGTGCAAATAATATGATTAGAGTAGCAGGTGCAGATTTCAGTCGAAGTTTGGTAATAGATGGTTCTGGTTTAAATCATGAAGATCCTACAGATGCTTTCATAATAAGCAATCATAGCGATGTAGATAAAAATTCTCCTAATCGTATGCATCTTGTAGGAGGTGCAAGTTTAATTTCATTTTTGGCAATGCATGCAAAGCAACTGATAAATCCAAATCATTTTCCAGTAACATATTTTTCAACTGGTAGACAATATACTCCTTTTCGATCAGGATCCAATCCAATTGGTTGTTTACTGTTTGTCAAGCTTCAGTTGCAATTGCTTTTATATTAGTCAAAGATGGAAAGAGTGAAGAATATAGTACTCAATTTGAAAAATTATTAAATATTGCATGTAAATTGTATGATAATGTGTGTGATCATTATCAAATTGTTATGAGGCCTGCTTCAGAATTACGACCTTGGGAAGCAATGCGTGTATCATTTGAATTATGGTCTCCATTTTCGAAACAATATATAGAAGTTGGTCATATATCTACATATGGTGAATATTTTAGCAAAAGATTGCTAATTATATATCAGATACCAGATGGACAAAGCTTCCCTTCTGTGATATCCGGCACAATTTTGTCGGTACCACGTCTTTTAGGATGCTTGTTAGAACAAAATCCACATAAATTCGTTATTCCACCGAAAATATTAGAACATATGCCTATAAATAATATTTAAGTTTAGAAACAAATTTGAAAATTAATTTAATTATAACAATAAGATGATTTTTATATTGTATATACATATTTCGATATATGTATTTTGAGTGTTTTCATTTCTAGTATGTTTATTGATAAAACATTGTTTATATATTTTATTAAAAAATAAATATATTTGACATTGTAAATAGACGAAAGAATGCTTTTTATTAATATATAATACATTCATTTAAGCATTTAATATATTTAAATGTTTTTATCGAATATTTATTTTTTACACTTATATATAGTATTTATAGTATTTGATATGTATATATATATATATATATATATATATGTACACATGTTTAAAAATATACATATATATATAGTTAAAAAGAATACCAAAAATTGGTAATATGTTTCCGTCTATTGTTTTCATAATTTTGAAGTTTCTTTTGAAGAGCTGAAAGATTAATATACACACATGACTTTAGAATTTGGAGAATTACCAGTTCGAATACGAAAAATCGTTTATTATACATTAGCCTCATCAGATCAAAGAATTTGGGCAAAATTTATATTTCCTGGTGTACAAAATTTTTTGATACGCTCATTTTATACTTCTTTGCCAATGGCACCAGGTAAACTACATTTCTACATTTAAATTAATTTATATCATTAATCATTAAATTTTATAACTTTTTATATAAATTCTTACTAATTTTGTTACTTTCATTATTTTTAAATTTGTTAATTTCATCGCATTTATAATGAGATAAATATCTTATAGTAATATCATTCGTACAATATTTCAAACGTATTTAAATTTTACAATAATAAAATATAATTTATAATAACTATAACTATCATTTCTAATTAAAACAAATAATGGAAAAAAATTTGCTCTTTAAGATATAATTTGTTCGCACTTTTTGATATCTCGCGATATCTCTTATAATTGTAAAACAAAATATCATTGCAAAATATTTTATTTTCGCACATGCGATATATATTCTATTCAGATTATAACTATATGTTTTTAAATACTTTATTTAATTATATTTATATCAAATATAGGTTTTTTATGCAATTAATTGTACATTAAATTATTATGATCAGAGTTAAGAAAATATTTAATTTCTATATATTAGAAAATCTTGTATGTTAAAAATATATAATTTTATTTTATTCTTAATACAATAATTTGATCTTTTTGATTAAATTTTTGATAGCATTTCTACTGACATTTTGGTTAATGAAATGGTGCCCGGAAGAACATAGAAGATCAAAAAGAAAAGATCCAAACTTATATTCATAAAATAACAGAAAATAATTTTGAGGATCACAATGGAACAATAATTATTTATGTTTTTATTCTCTTCCATTATTATAAATTGTACTTTCTTAATTTTAATTAATTAAATCAGAGTTAAAATAAAAAGTATATTCAAAAATATTTTAGATTAATAATTGGAGAATTTTTTAAGAAGAAATAGTTCTAAATTATTAAAGTCATTGAAATGATATTGTAAAATATAAATGAAGTTTGAAAAGAAAAATAATATTTTGTTTTCATTTTCGACTATGATTGCAAATTAATTATTTATAATTTATTTATGACATTATTTAACGCAATTATATGTTTATTAATTCTATTTCAAAAATAAAATATATGAAATTTAAAAAAAAAAATTAAATATTGTTTTAATTAAAATTATTTTAATATCAAAATTTAATGAAAATGTTTCCGCAATTTCAATTTATTAAGAATTTAATAGAAAGATTTTCTACTATTTATATAAAAAAAATACACTTAATATGTTTTTAAAGTATCTTTTAATAACATTTTCATTTTAAATTAAATAAACAAAATAAGGATTAAATAAATAAAATAGATATTGTTAAGATATTGTTAATAATCCAATGCGCAAATTAGAGCTACACCTCTTTTGATCCAATGAGCTTGTGGTTGTTTACTAGGAATCTCCATCGGTAATACAAAATTTGTCGAATGTCCAGTTGTGCTTAACACTCCTGCTCGGTTGATAGTTTTATATACGGGACAAACATAGATTCCTTCGGGTTCTTTATGATGTACTTCCGGCAATAATAGAATTGGAGGCATGTCTAGAAAAAAATATTTATATAATTATTTGAAATTAATACAAAATTAAAAATTAATATAAAATAATTGATATTTAATGAAACATAAAATATGATTAAAAAAAAAATAAAATATATGTTTGGATTTATACGATATTTAATAATAAAAATTATTTTTTATTAATTTATATTTATCTATAATTTAAATTTTTATTATTAATTTATTATTTTATAAAAATTATGAAATATCAACATAAAATGATGCAAAAATATTTTTTTGATTTTGTATATAATTGTATCGTAATTGATATATAATTGCAATATGCAATATGAAATATGTAATAAATATGTATAAATGATAATAGCAATTAACAACATCCTTTAAATGAGATAAAATTACCATTTTATAAATCTCTTTAAAATATAAAAATATAAAAAAATTAAAAAAAAAACATGAGAAAAATATAAAAAAATTTAAATAAAAGCAACAATTTTTAGTAAGAATAATAGATAATTTAAAAATTTACTTATTATATTATAAAAATACTTATTATATTTATACAATGAATAAAATATATAGACAAAAAATAATAAAATATGTTGAAAAAATGTTGAAAGAACATATTTATATTTTTCGTAATATTATATTATATATATATGTATATATACTAGTATATAATTCCTTAGGAAAAGATTCGTTCAAATAATTTCCATCCCATCGGCATCCTTCAAGAAAGAGACCATAAATAATACAACCATCTGGCGGTCTTTGTTTTGGCATTTCAGTTTGTACCTAAGATTAAAAATAGTTTCATATTTATAGATATATTCTTTTTCTATTTATATTTATATATATTTTTATTCATATTTATACATATTATTTCTCATAATTATATATTATACTTTTATACTTTACAATATCAAATAATATTCTAAATAATTTATCAATTAATTAGCATTTTGAATAATTTAGTTGTTAAATATCAGATAATTATTGGTTAAAATTACTTGAAAACTAAAATCAATTGCATCGATGGAAACAACGTATTTTCGTGCAAAGTTTTGTAAAGTGCCTGTTAAAAATGCTTGCGGAAAATAGAAACCAGAAATCCAAAAAGCTGCGGGTATTCCATAATTTTCCCAAGATTTTAAAAATTCAATTCGATCTTTCAAATCCAGAAACCAAGCACCTATTTCAAATTGATAAATATAATTTATTTGTAAATTGAAAACTGAAAGAAATTCAAAAATTCAAAAAAAAAAAAAAAAAGAAAATTTGGAAAATAAAAATAAGTTGAATTTGCATATGATTGTTATGCAACAAATTTAAACTTATATAAAGAACAAAAATTTCAATTCTTTAAATTGATAATTAGCATTAGCTTAAGATATACATGAATGCTATTAATAAATTCAAATTTAGTTACAAGTTGGAATCGAAGATTACCAAGAGGTTTTAAAGAGGGATATCCCTTATCTTCCCAAACTGTTGGAATCTTATAGTTGTACAAACTTTTTGACACAGTTTCTAAGTATTCTGACATAACGACGAATCCTTTTAAGGCTTTCAATAGATCTTCTAGCGTCGATTTTACCACATCCAGTAAACCATTATAGCGTATAGCTTCTTGAATGAGTACGGTATTAAATGATTCTTCGTACAAAACCGGATATCTATACACATATATCTCTAATATATTTTAATTTCTTAAATGTTTCGTTATTCTTTCTATATCGAAAATAATGTTTTTAATACTTTTGATATATAGCAGATAAATCAAAGAGAGGAGGCATTGTCGCCAACATATCAGAGGCTAATTGAAACGTGACTTCTTCGATACTTGCAGCTGCGATTCCAACTTCTTGTGGCTGAAGAGCAAGTAACGTGTCCAGACACGCATATGTTTCAGCTTGAGCGAAGCTAATATCCGCATTCGGATGCATTCCGAATAACGCAGGATCATCGTTTAGAGGAAAAGTTTTTATATATTCGATATAATCTTCGAACGTTGCATCGGTTAACTGTAAAAAGATGAAAGATTAGTAAAAATATAATAAATAATATATTCCAATATTCCATAATAACTTATTCTAATGATAATCTTTAAAATATATGCAATGTTGTATGAATAGCATCAAGCTAACAATTCTCAACTAGTAGTAATACATGAATGATTTGTAACAATATATATTCGTATTAAATTTTATTATTTTAAACATTTATTTTCAATATTATATATATGACTCTATTTATTCTGAATAACTACTAGATAAAATAATGTTACAAGTTGAAAATCGCTGCTTTTATTAAGGGGATACTTCTAATTAGCGAATGATAATATTAATTTAACAAGTTTATTTTATTTATACGCACTTGATAATATCCTTCTACATCAAATTTATATGTCGGTGACAAAATTTCTATTTTGTAGAAATCTTGCAATATGGTTAGCACACATCGACGATCCCAATCGTCTGTTATTCGACCACCATAATTGATGTGGCCAGCTGTGTATATGAGTACCTATGCAAATGAATATTACAAGTTTTTTCATTTCTATAAAGTAATAAAAAGTTTTTTCTTTTTTGCTGAATGATTTTACCCTGAACGGAACAACGTCATATTCTAAAAGAAACATGTGCAATTGTGATATACATATTCTTAAATCACCATCAGTGAATTCGTACGCTATATTAAATCCCAACGAGCCAAATTTTCTTCGTTCCAGTAACACAGAATGAAACAAGCATAAAGAAAACACCAACCATTTAAATTGCTGAACTTTAGGATGTTCGGATGCTAGGAAGATTCGCATTTCTGCCACTTGTGCTAAATACGCACGAAACATATTTGCCTGTGAACAAAAATAAAAATATTTTCTTATTTCAAAAATATTTCCTATTATAAATAAGAATTTAAGTTTATTTAAAAAAAAAATGAAAAGTTGGAAAAACGTTTAATATATTGAGAAAATGTAAGATTTGAAAAAAGAAATTAAATATTTAATTAGTTAATGGTATAGCAAAAAAATAATGAGTAAAAAAAATAAGGCTTTAAATTTCAAATAACATGATTCTTTTACTTTTATTCCCCTAGGAGGTTCGATCGTCATTTTGCTACTGTTTTGAAGAATACTGACAGGAAAATCAGGGGATGGCGCGGATGTTAGCCATAAACGGAAATCACGATGATTAGTTTGTCGTGTTAATAATTCAACCAACATATCTAATTCTGGCATCCAACTTGGAGCCAAATGGCAATTCTATAAAAATATATTTACATTAAAATTTGATAATTAAATTTATTATTTTTAATAATTATAATTATATATATATATATATTTTTAATTTATTTTCTTGATTAATTTTTAAGATATAGTTTTGCATCTTATTAAAAATTATGCTTTTGATAAAATTATTTTATTAAATTAAAAAATTATAATTTTACATCTTAAAATTTTCATCATTAAAATTATCTTCTATTTATCAGTCTTAAATTTATTTTTTTTTTTATTAAATTTATTGTTTTTTCAAAAAACAATGAACAGATAAAAATAAATTTTTCAAACCTGTATATTTAAAAAGAAAAAATTGTGATTGTGACCGCAGAAATCGTATTTCTTCTTCATTATATTCTATTGTTATATTATTATTCTGTTTTTTTATCATTGCGTAATAAAATATTATTCTACATTTCTTATTTCCTCTTTTAATTCACAAGATCAATAAAAGAATTGAATTTTTCAATAGAAATTATATTCTATTTGGAATCTATTTCTTCAAAAAAATATCAATTTGCATTTATTTACAATTGAATAGTAATGCCAAATTAAAAAATTAATATATTGAATAATAAAATATGGTAAAATATGGTAAATATAGTAAATTCCATAATTTCTTTCTTTCGAATTTTTAATAAAATAAAATATTAATTGCAATGCTAATTTTTTTAATAAATACTTCTTATTTAATATTTGACAATTATTTGCATTAATGAATTATTGTTGAATAAAGTCGATAAATATGATAAAAAAAAGAAGGAAAAAGAATTTCAAATTTGATTCTTTCTCATTTTTACTTCCTCAGTCAAATCACATCTTTTCATATCTTTATTTCCTTATCAAACCGCAACTCTATCTCCATCCAATTCACCCCCATTATATAATAAATCATTTTCCACTGGTTCCGCCTTCTCTTTTATATATATTCTGGAAAGATAAAGACCATACTCTCCCCTTTTCTTTATCCCGTATTTTATCACCTTAGGGAGAAGTCTTTTCTTAAAACAACAATGTATTTATTAGATCAATATTGACAATGGTTTGTGGTTATCAAATTATCAAATTCCATTGTAGTTGAATATTGTATATATAGGAATAAGTATTAGATTAACGTTTTCCAATCTTGATTTTCTTGTAATATTTAAAAATAACTTATTATTATAAATAACTTACAATAATCCATTTTTTTCACATAAGATTAAGATAAGAACTATTAAAAAAACCCTCGAAAATTGCTCGAGAATATTCTTATTTTTATTTTATTCTTTTTAATAATATTAATTTTATAATATTAGACATAACAGACATAATTCCATATTTTATTGCAATAATGCAATATTCTATACATTTTAATCATATAATGATTCTTTCAAATCTCTTATAGAGAAAATATATGTACATATACCTGGAAGAAACACCAATAACCGGTTTCTGCGGATAACTTTAACATAGCTTCTGCTCTGGGTCCTTGTCCTTGCCCAAGCGAGATGGCATGCAATTTCATGGTCATTTTTAATTTATCCGCAAATTTGTATAATTCTGCTGCAGGATCTGTACCAGGGGACAAGATGAAAATTATAGGCGTAGTTGGAGAAGATTCGGCATAAATTGCTGACAATTCTGCAGTTTGGGGCTCAATAAATTCTTGGCCTAAATACTTGGCTATGTACAATTGCATCGCATTTGTCACTTTATCGGGTCGAAGACATTTCAATATTAACATTTTTTGAAAATCATCAAGTTTCGATTGCCATGGTTCTGGATAAGAAATCCTGGAAAGAATTAAAATAAGTACATTTAATTTAAATTAAATTTCATCATGTTCTATTTTGAAAATTTAAATTAAAACTTAAATTATTAAGTTAATTTAATTGTAAATAATTTTTAAAAATTAATCTACACTTTTTGCCTGATTGCTATACAATCTTTTATGACTTTCAATGACGTATGTTAGAGGAACATGTTGCTCACATATGCGCTTCTTGTTCATCGAATATATTTTTGAATTGAGATACATTCCTTGTGAAGAATTCCACGAAATTCTGGAAATTTTCTAATTCATTGAGTGCTTGGATCTCCTTCCAGCAACGTGGAGTAATCCATTCAGGCGCCGGATTTGGAGCCTCCTATAAAACAAATTTTATAATTTTAATAATTAAAATACATGAATATCATTTTTACCGTATTACCACATTTTTAAAATAATTGAAATCTATTTGTTACAAAATATAAATGATTATATATCTATATTGTTACAAATATAATACATTATAAATGATTAATTATTTTTAAAATTAGATAATTCAATATATTATTAATTTTTCTACACAAATTGGATTATTATTATCCAATTTCTTTGGAGTTTAATTAATTTTCACCACGACTTTTTATAGGATTCGAATTTACATGTAAGACGAATTGGGTCAAAGCGAAATCAAAT